GAAACTACAATTTAGAGCTTGAAAGAAATAATTGCAAGTCCAGTGCAAAGTTGAGTCCGTTTGATTTACCTTTGGGGTTTTGTGGTCATCGACATAAACCCACCTTCATCTCAAAAAAGAGAAAAAATAGCCATAGACTACCGAAAAGGATTTTCTTCATTTATTTACCCAAAAGCTATATTTTCGTTGTATGCAATGGCGGAAATCGTGAGATGAACTGATGCTGCAATTCGTATTGTGTCAGTTGTATCTAAAGCTTTGATTTTTTCCGGTTAATATTCTTCCTTAAAATACCACCCAAAGAATTCAAGAAATCGGCGAAAAATTCGTCACGCTAAAGAATAAGGACCCTGCAAAAATTTCCTGCTTGGTTTATGACGCGGCACGAAACAAATAAACACTGATAGTATGCAAATCACTGTAAACTCTAAAAGTAGAAGAAAAAAATTTAAACATTATCAAATTTTTCTTGCAACCCCAAATTAGAGGATTTTTTTGTTTATCCCACTCGGAATTCGGTTATGAGAACAAATAACCGTGTATTTCATCCCCAAGAAAAAAAGTAAACATCCACTACAAGAAGAAATTTTTGTTTGCCGGACAAAAGTTTAAAAAGACAACCTGTCGTTCGGCATCCATGTTGCATTTGTGGATGTTGCAGTATTATGGTATTTTTTCGCGTGTCTAATTGACTACTTATATTTATTGCTGTTATCTGATAAGTTATTATAACGTCGCTTCACATACCGAAAATTGACGAAATAACTTTTTTTTTTTGCTCTAAGAGGAACGAAAGAACACATATTAATTTCGTTATGTTTTGTTTGATATCACTTTTGTTCTGGAATGACATCTACCTTAGATGTCTCGACAGATAAAAGCGGCTTACAGAAATCCTATTGAGTGAGCATTTTGCTTAAACAATCAGGCTAATCTGCTCTTGACTCACTTTAAATTTCCTTTACATAGAATATGCTGTGAGCGAGAGTGATAGACGAATTCAGTCGATTCATGAAGCCTTGTCTTCCGATGGCGATGGTTCATGCAGATTTCGTGGGAATGAAAAAAAAACCGCTTTGACGACAAATTCCCACGAGCAGTTAACGGAGAATAAGAATTGAGCAAAGAGAAATTCAATACTATTTGATATTGGTATTCCATTAGATAAAGTAGCCATAATTCTAAGAGTCTGTAACAGGCTCAACTTAAGATTATCCGTCAAAACAAAGCATGTAAGCAATCATCCAAAATTCCATGGTACCACTGCCCTGAAAATGTCTGAACTGTTCCCAGCTTTAAAGTTTTGATTCATTTTTTTTTTGTTGAGCTTCAGTAGGTGTACAAAATTGAAGTGACCTAATAGGTTTTATTCGTGAGATCGTTAGGATCCTTGATATGACTACCATTGGCGCTATATGTGGAAATTTTGACACTGTTCACCCATATCAAATCTTGGAGCTTGATCCTTGGAATTCGAGAAATTGTGACGATTCAGATTGTACAAAATAAAAGCTTATATGCAAGATAAAAGGAAAAAGATGAGGTAAAAGTGAGAGTTTCACGAAGAAAACCGAACTGGCGTGACGCGCGCTCAGACGTTGTTTAATTTGTAAGCTTCACTATATAAGTGATTTTCGAGCGTGCGAGTGACAGTGTTTTGTCGTATAGCTCAAGAAAATCGATTTTTGAACATTTTCGTGACCAAGATGGCATTACAGCATTACCTTCTGGTGTTTTTTTACATATTTTAAAACGTAAAATATTTTTTTTGGAACCGGGCTTACGAACAGAGCGCGCTCGTGAAAATATCACGATGAAAGTTAAACATAGCCTTGTTATAATAAATGACAGACAAGTTGATCAACTTACGCTCATCTTAAGGTTCAAGACAAAAGAAGGAGTAATTTTTTTTTAGCAAATAGCGTTCATGATTTTACGTGCGATCTCTGTATCATAACTTACTAACTCGCTTCATTGCACTGAGTCTGTGTTCGGTTTTCACAGAGTGACGATTTCCCCTGCCGATTGTCCTAACATGAAGTACTTGTTAATATTCGCTACTCTTGTCTGCATCGAATTTTACAATTGCGATGCAGGGATAGACATTGGAAATCAAGTGAGAAAACTTCTATCATTTAAAAAAAAACATGAGTAATTCAGCAATCATGGCATTGCTCTTTTTAAAGGCTAAAAAAGCTATAGAAGTCATCATACGTTGCGGATTAGTTCTGCATCCAACAGTTCCTATATGGAACAACTCATTTCAGCTTCCACAGTAGATCAACTGTTTGACTAACCTTCCATTTGTTTTATACTTTTAAAGCAATAACAGACAGAATGATTTTCACGGTTTTTTATTGCATTGTATTATTCTTCAGGGGAAATGTGCTATACCTGGAAATCCTATAAACATCAATGTTCACGGAGGAGATGGGACAAAGGTAGAACCATTTTTAATGTTCCATAGTAAGTACTTCACAAAAGAACTTTAAAAGACAAAAAAATCATTTTTACGAAAGATTTGCTGTATTACCTTGCGTGGAATTTTTGTCTCCAACGCTAGGTTTTTGCCAAAATGTAATCATAGCGACGTCTTTGAATGCGCTTTCGCAAGAATTTTTGTCCTCAGTAGCCGTGGTAGTCCTTTGCATAGACTGGTCAAAGAAGACGTCTTGAGATACTCGTTTCCCAGTATGAATGAACCCTTTTAAAAGAGATTAGGATCAGCCAAAAGGGGAAGAGGATTATGAAAGATGGAGAGGATTAAAACGGATTTTATCTGAGATATTTAGGCTTAATTTCTTAAGACCTACAAGCCATAACATATTTTAGATCTTCAAGTTATGTTGATGCACTTTTGTAGTTAAGTATGGTTAATTTTGTTTGTCCTTAAGTCAGCCGTTAACATTAAGGAAACACGGTTTGTGTTTTCTATTGTCTAATACATCACAGGCTGGTAAGGGCGAAAAAGGAGACAAGGGGGACCCTGGGTCAAAAGGAGATAAGGGAGATAGTGGAGCCGCTTCTTGCAAATGTCCTTTGCAGGTAACAGATATTTTTTGAAACTGTTTGAGGATCGTACGTGATACCTTAATGTGGAACGGTATTCTAATTTTTTTTTTCTAGCCTCGCTTACGGGGAAAGTTTCTATTTCTTGCTTGCGAAGAACTAACATATATGATCATGACCTTTTATTTGAATGCTTTTAAACTTGAAAGTTTAATAGCCTGCTTACCAAATTTGAAAATCTCAATCTGGGGGTTAATTGGAGTTCTTCATGTATCCAATCACTGCCTTAAATATTGTGACCAAAGTATTTGCAAGAAAATGTGACCATTTTGCAGCGTGTAACTTTTAATCGTTGTTTTTCATCGCCTCATATTAATTCTCTTGTTTTCATAGGATCCAACAAAACCATCCGCACACCTTGAAGGTGCCAACAAAAGGGATGTAACCTATCAAGTAAATAAAGGTATATACATTTTATTCTATGAGATAGCTGGATATCAAGGGGAAAATGAATAAGGACTAGTTGACTTTTGTGTAAAGCAGGTTTGTATACGGTTTAAAACTCTCTGGTCTGACTATTTGCACAAAGTTTAGCTGTTGTTTAACAAATTCACGTCCTAAACAATTCTCAAGTTAGCGGAACCTTTTTTTGTAAATAGCGTCGAGAAGACAAAGAGCAAACAATGGAAGGACAATTGTTGCATTAATCAAACCTCTTACAGAGAAAGCCTGAAGCCCACGGATTGCGTAAAACCGTGGTTTGGGTTAGACCTCGAGTAAATAACGGGCCTTATCTATTTCAAGAATCGATAGCTTATAATCAGTTTTTTAAGTTTAAAAGGGTTTTTCGACGATATCAAAACACAGTAAGTGTAACTTGATAAATTGTACGGAATTGCAGTATCCTCCTAATAAGTCCTATGCTGCTCGCAAAGGTCAGATAACTACTGGAGGATTTGTATATTCGGGTCAATGTTTGAAAATAGTTATAGGGAGGGAGAGGGACAGAGGGCGGACTCAGGAGACTCGTTTCTCAATTTTGATATCATGCACCTGCGGATTTTTTGTTTTTGTGACTTATTGACATATTCCGTTTTCGATTGCAGTGATAAAGGACTGGACCTTAAGTGCACCGTACAGTCATCTCGCAGGTGGTATGAAATACCGAGATGGAAAACTCACCGTGCCCATCTCAGGACGGTACTACATCTACGAGCAGATCTACTACCGTGGCCACAGAGGCAAACCAGTCAGGATTTCTCTCTTGGTTAATAACAAAGTGGTCGTCATGGTACAGCCTCCTCAGACCCTACGAAAATCTAGTTTCACTTTTTCGACTGGAGGCGTCTTCTACCTGAAGGCTGGTGACGTCATTACTGCAGCTACAAATCGTGTAGGGATTGCCTACATGTATACCTACCACAGCTTCTTTGGCGCATTTTTGATTTGAAAGAAGTCATTTTTCGCGATGTTTGCCAATGAAGATTGTGATTCTATTGTTGTTTTTGGTGATGCATTAAAAGTTGATCAGTGAAAATGATGTCTTATTTGATTAGTTTGCGCTTTCGGACCAGCCTGGGCCAGCTATTGTTTATCGCCAAGGGTGGTGTGGGGAATTTGGGGAGGGGGGGTTTACACAGGTTTCAGGGGAACGGGGGTAAGATAGTCGTCGCCAGTGCTTCACTGCCAACGAGGGGGAGGGGGAGGGGGATTCATAAGATTGTCTCAGAACTTTATGGGGTGAACGGGTAAATGTTTTAGGGACTCAACCAAAATCCTCTGATTCCCACAGGTGGTTAATAATGAGCAGTCCCTCGATGGGTTGAGTGTCGCAAAGGTTGGCCTTATCTCACAGTTTTACACACACACCAAGCCTGTAAAAATTATTGAATTTTGATCGTGAAAAGTTTTGTTCATCCAATTTGCGATTGATTAAGACATCTGACGAAAACAGAGTAACCGGGAGCAGAAGTGGCAATGTCAGAACAACAAAATCTTAAAATATGTTTTAATGAAAATTTCATTCCCCTATTTACACACTTAATTAAAAGTAAGGCAGCCTTACTGTCTTCCCAACCAAGTCTTGCGGGCGAAATTTGGATAACAACTCTGCATGATATGGATTCAACGACTCAAATGGAAAAGAACTCTATAATGAAAAATGAAAAATTGTTTAGAAATGTGTTATCTTGAAACGAGATTCCTTGCAAAAGTTTCGATACCCTCGTCCACATTTTCTTCAAAGTCTGAGATCCACGGATGGTTCAATGCCTTGAAAGCAGTTACTCGCTTGTGAGGATAAACCACCAACATTCGTTTCACAAGATCTTTTGCGTCATCCGACACTCGGTCCCAGTAGCGCGCAGGCAAGCTGTAACATCCCTCCACAATAAGTAACATCAGTTTCCTATCATCGCTGTGCCAAAATGGAGGATATCCCACGAGTAATAAAAACAGAATTACTCCGCATGCCCATATGTCAACCGCTGGACCGATAGGGTCCGCTAAGATTGTTTCCGGCGCAAGATAGAGAGGCGTGCCCTCCGCTGTACACTTGATAACGTCACAATCGTCCGGAAGTCGCCGCGCAAGTCCAAAATCTGTAAGTTTTACGACGAGTTTGCCATCCTTCTTTTCTAGAAGGATATTATCTGCTTTAATGTCTCGATGAACAATCCTTTTCCGGTGAAGATACTTGAGGCTTTCAATGAGCTGAAAGATAAACATCGCAAAGAATGAGTGCGAACAAGATGCATTTCTTCCTCTAACGACTGAATAGTTGTAACGCGACAGCTATCAAGCGAACGATCAGCCAAGTGTATTTAGTGGCCAGATGTTTTTAAAGAATGTTTAATGATGAGAAATCTCTGTGAAATGAGTATTTTCTTTTATAAGGAAACGAGAAGCGTGATGCGCATTTGTTATGATTCTTGTCAACAAGGCTTGATAAACGCTTTAACTTCCAAATAATGAAAGAAAAAACTTAAATCCTGGTTCTTAGTTTCGAAAAATGTTCTCCTTATTTTTATCGTCATAGCTAAATGTCCACGTCTGCAAAACTTGGAACCCAAGATATGTAATAAATTACTTAACAACCGGAGCAAAGATCTAAGGGATTCCTCTTGTCTCACCTGTTCCATCATCCCTCGTGTTTCTTCTTCAGAGAAAACAATCTTATTTACAATTTCGTCCAAAAGCGTTTTTCCGTTTACGAGTTCTAACACCACCCAAATGTGGCCGTTTCCGTAAAAGCGTTTGTATAATGAGACAATGTTGCGATGCTGCAAAGTCCTCCAAATTTCCACTTCGTTGTTTATAACCTCTCTGTCAAAATTAGCCTCTTCAGTTTGAAATTCCTTCACTGCAAAACATTCACCTGTCTTTCGCTCCGTGCATTTGAACACTTTAGCAAAGGTTCCTTGTGCTATGAAGTCTTTCATTTCAAAATCTTGACAAAATGTCCTTAGCTCTAAGCTCGCCATGTTAGACTAATGGCTAATGCTGTAAGTAACTGTTGAATCCTGCAAAATAAACAAGTCGATGAGCCTCTTGGTGTTTTATTTACCCCTCAGCGAGCGAATAAGTCTTTTATAATAGAGATGGGTTGAATCGTATCGCTTCATTACAATCATCACGTCCTTCACAAGAAAGAAATGCTCTCAGACCGGAGCCTCAACGATGTGACGTTGGGTCCCTCAGTAATAAATGTCGCCTCAGGTGTTAGTTACGGCAGATAAGTCGGCAGGTGGCGTCAATCTTCAATGTTGTCGCGTTAGTCAATAAATGGCCTTGGGCTTAATTTTTTTTTTATTTCGCAATTTCGCAAGTTAAGAACGCATTCACGTACATACGATTTTCAGGAATAATTTGTTGAGCACATTTAGATCTATATCTGTGTGTGTCAATAGAGCTTGGAATTTCCAAACTGGCTTGGTGACCAAATAATCGACGCAGTGGCTTGGGTTTATAAAGATAGAGTAAGATGGTATCTATAAACTTGTTACAAATCGCGATTGTGAAAGATTGAATCGATTGAATCAAGAATTATGCTTAATTTTGATTTGCAAGAGAAACAAGTATATGATTGATAGCTGCGCCGGTGTTTTGATACTCGCGGAAGGAAACCATTCCAACACGATCACAGAAAAGCAATACTTACTCAAAGAGGAATCGATGTGATCATTAAGCGAATTAGGTCTAAACCTTGGTCTTAGTTAAAAATGAACTTCACAAGTATATCGAGTCGATCTTACCTCTGAGCGATAAAGAATTGTTTTGTAGATCCACGCGTGTCACTCTCGGCTTTATATACAAGCACGTTTTATCTCGAAGCACGTTTCTACATATGGAACATGTTTCAATGCATCAACAACATTATCAAGTGACCGAAGAACTGAGTTATTTCATGACCTCCCAGAATTTACCGGCGAGCGAGATTCTTTGTAACTTTGTGGTAGCTGTGAGGCGCTCTTGCGGTTTCACGAACGCTCTGGCATAACTTATTCATTGATATGACAGTTGTGGCTGACTTTTAGCCCTTGATAAGGAAACCGCTAAGTGCGTGACGCAGCCGCCTTACGGAACACTGGTCACATTACCAGACAATTAACAACAGCATGACACGCCACAAACAGCCTTGAACGGAAGGCACCCTTAAAATATTGCACGACTCAGTCAGAAGTCTAGCATGCAATACTTGTCGTCTTCACGTATAAAAAAAAATTTGTCTCGTCAGGAGGGTAAAATTCGCGTTTCTTCGCTATGTTATTCAAGCATCACAAGTAACGAAGCGGAAACAAGTAATACATTAAGTACTGATAAAATCACGGATTACTTTCTCTAGATTTTGTATAGTTCCGTCTTAACAGCATTCTGTTGAGAGATTTAATTTTTTTGATAACAAACTGGATTTAACTGTTCAACTGAATGTACCAACTCGGAATGTTACTGCATTTTAACGCTGATTTGTACAAGTAGTGATGTGCTATTTTAGTATTTGAATAAAAGCAATTACAAGAGCGGTAACTTGATTCAGTTGATCTAAATTTAGAAGGTTTACAAACAGCAGTGAACCAGAGAACATCGGTGTATGTCTAACTACAATCAAGAAATCACTGGAACTTTCAGGTTTTCCTCGGCTACACGTAGTAAACATCAACTCAACTTCTTGACTCTCGACTTAAGCTGTTGATTTGCAAAGACGTTCATGTAAGTTTTTAAGAATTCATTACGAGGAACAATCAAAAAGTGTTCTTTCTAGCCAAATCTTAAAAGATGCTTTGTCGACCGATAAGTGTTGTGGCTGAGTCATTATTTTGCTTATTAGGTCTATTTTTTCTATATATTTGTGATACACTTTGTAGTCCGTGTGTGGGAATGCAAACAAAAACAATCCATAACATCATTTGATAGGTTTTTCGGACACATTGCCTGGGGTAAAACATGGCTCGAAACAAGAAAATGAAACAATCTGAAAGGGGTCATTCTGGATGATACCGCGGTATATTGTTAATGTATTATAAAAAGGAAAAAAACAAACAAACAAAAGAGAAAGCGTTAACATTTTCCGGAGTTTAGCATCGGCTAAAAATACGGCGAACTTTAGTCTGCAGTGCGGCTTTATAAACCACGGTGAGAGAAACTGGAAAATTTGGAAAGAAGGAAATTACATAAATTTGAGCTATTTGTAGTAATTTTATTCAGAGACACGTAACACCCTTTTTAATGGAAAAAAGACAAAGCATTAAAAGGGAACAGAATAGTAGCAGTTTTCGCCATATTTGTGGCATACCGTTAGATGTGATATAAAAAAAACTCTAATAAGGGCGTGTGTCAAGCTCTTCAGACAGGATATGTCTCGTATCTTTGCTATGCTATCTTCCGTGACTGTTGAAAGAAATTCCAAATAAAGAGGAAAGATTATCCTCTAAAAATCACCTCAAATCCCTCGTTAGATAACTTAACGGAGAGGCTTAAGACAGTTCTGGGGGTCCTAATGACCAAATCCAATAAGCTGTTCAGCTGACTTTCAAGTAATTCATTGATCAGTAACAAATTTATAAGAATATTACCGAGGTCTGGTATATTCAAACGTCAATTTCTTTCCATATATACTTGAACTTGGCAATGGCTTCAGGTGGAGATAAAGGATGAAACGTGAGTAATCTTTATCGAAAAGGTCTGTTTGTTTAGTATTTTTGTCGTCGTAGGGTGGTTGTGAATTGACAAACCAAAGAGGAGCACAGAAAGAGCCGTATTTCCATAACAATAGGGGTGAAAAATTCAATATTACGCTGGCTGCGAACAGTATTATTTGTGTAAACATTTGGTTTGGTACAAGCAAAAAATAAATAAAAGGGAAAATATTTTTGGTGCATGCGACCTTTCCTTTTCCCGTCACGTACCCTTTGCCTTAAAACCTCTCATGACTTAAGCTCTCCCACTCACCCGCAAATAAAATCACGCAAATTATATTCAGACATGCCACTCCTCTTCACTTGATGAGAAATCTTAACAAGGTTCGGCTTCTAAAGTGACTTTGAAAGGCGTACCATCGTCTATTCTTGGAGTTGTTATCTGAAATCTTTGAATAGAAATTTAATTGATATCCATCAGATAACCAACCGCGCTTTGGTGTTATCAGTGTCACATTGAACTTCATTCCTAAACGAAACAATATGCATGTTCATGATCGAAATTTAATCATTTTCAGGTACGTCAAGACAGAACCTAATCCTCCCTTCCCCACCCTCATCCTGTCTAAAAATGGAAAACGCCCTAGCACATATACTCATGCCATGTTTGCACATAACAGTTTCTTCTGGAACTTGTTTGTTATCATTGAACAAGTTATTAAGACTTTTGTCACGTTTTGTGCCTCAATCACATAACTTTTACAGTCTTCTTCATCCTCAGTTATTGTTGGTCCTTCTTGATTTATCATTATCAATTCTGTATTTTTCATTTTAAGAACTAAATATCTTACAATCTTGAAAATTGAGAAATGATTCGAAATGACTCTTGCAAGTCATGTTCTCCTAAGTCAATTGTTCTAGTGATCATGTTATTACACTAATAAAGCAAATGAATGATCCTTCCAGGTGGATTACAAATTTTAGTAATTGCAAGTTTTCATTAGATGAATTGTAATTGGCGAAAGTGCGGTTGGGAATCCTTCTGTGATAGAGGATCAAATCTGCTAACATCTCGAATTCCAGAAAGAGGGACTTTCGATGCTCGTCGAGTTTGCTTGAAATTTCCGAAAATTAAGTTATTGTATCTGATGAGTCTCTGGCCGAGACGCAACGCCACTTCATACCAGCCACGAAGTATCTCAGCGTTCACTATTGCCGAAGAGAAGCTTACAAGATTCAGGCCTCGACGGGATTCGAAACCGTGCCTCCCGGATACTGTTGGAGCGCTTTTAGCAACTGAGCTACGAAGCCACACGCTGATAACGAGGCAAATTCGGGACGGTTGTTCTTTACGAAGAGGAATTTATCTCATTACAAGTTTTTATCACACTTAGCTGTGCTACGTATCTAAACACACAGAAAGCGCATTTGATATTTGGTAATCCAATGTTTTAAGGCTATTTTATTAAAATGAAACAATCCCAGCCTCGCAAGGGATATCATAGTTGCGGTTTTCTTCGCGGTAAATCTTGAAATGACAGGCAAATACTTTTCATTTCTTGGTTTAGGTGGTCTGCTAACAATAATATTTTTCCAAAGGTGATAATTTAGACCACATAAGGCTTCCAATTGGAACTTTTACATCCCCAACCTGATAAAACAAAACAAAAGATGCAGGTGTCAAACCACGAAATCGAAAGTGGGAGAGAAGGATTGTGAAACTTGATTATGCGGTATAATCCACTCTCAATTCATTGTGATAAAACGCTAATCTAGTGTTGAACATAATGATCATGTTACTCGTAAGCCCCTTGAGCTAGTGGACCTTATCGGCTCATAATAATAGTTGGTCTATTAATACAACATGGACACGTTATTATCAGATGATACGCATTATTTCTGGGGCAAAGGTTACGATGGAAGAGTCGCCAGGCTGTCTGTGAAGCTTTGCATAACTCATTCTCTCCCTAACCAAATGAAACACAGAACTTTTAGAAGAATAGCACATTTCCTATGTAAAATGTTTCCTTGCTTAATGGCGTGGAAATAATTATCTTTGTGGAAAAGAGATGAGAAAGGGAGAGTGAAAATGGAAGTGTTGTACAACCTTGCGTTGAATGAAAAGCATTAAAGACGAAACAAAAGAACAGGCGGTTACGCAGTTTAAGCACCCGACTTGTTGCTTCGTTGAATGATGACAATCAACCTTTTTTTTTTTCCTATAAGCGGAGCAAAACCCTTTTAAGATTTCAAAGGAGCGCCGTCAAAAATGATGTATGATTGAAACCCAACGCACGCGAACTAAAATGACCAACTGTAAAGGTTGAAAGTATTGATACCTTTAACATGTTCAACTTTTGCATCTTATATCCGTTACAAATGGGTATTGATGTTTTTTTAGCCTTATCCCATGTAAATGATAGTTAATTGTGGAAAAGGGAGAGCAATAGATCACTTGCTATAAATCAAATAGAAACAGGGATATTTCCGACTCTGAAGTCACTAGCTCCTTTCATGCGCGGAATCAACTCGAACTTCAATCTTCGACAACAAAGCGAAGCGATACAAGGAGATGCCACAAGATCCGATGTGGTGCGTTCTTGAAACTGATAAATTGGAAAATTAAAGGCAAACACCTGACAGTAGAAACGCAGGCACCGAAAGCACTCAGTTTCAGAAACGAAGGCAAAACTTAAAAGATAATCGGTGCAATTTCTATGCCGAAACATCTTTACAAATGCTCACAATAGATTATGACCGAGGAAGAAAAATCACCCCTCTATGAAAAAAAATTGAAGGTCAAACAAAATGAAAGAAAATGTAAAAAGCTACATATAAGGAGCTTCATTTTTTAGGCTTCCTAAAAAATGTAATCCATGTAATCTGCTTTTACCGGATCATCATCAAAACGGCCTATAGCAAGTGGATCAAAGAAAGTATGCGTTTAGATCAGGTATTCAAATCAAATTAGATGCTAATGAAAGAAGGAAGCTCGTATACGAAATCGAATTAAATCCCTTATTGCGATCAACGTTGGACAACGCATACTTTGGATGTCGTTTTTCAGTCCCACGTGTCTTATGACATTCCGCGGGTATTGATCTGAAGCTAGACTGTTTCCAGGCTGGACTGTTTCAACTTTTCGACGCCATGTTGGACTGACTGACACACGTGGCCTCGATCTCACGCGGGTATATATATTTATATGTACGCCTTGGGAAAATATATATATATATATGAAATGCAATTATTTGATCGAATGACATAAGTTACTACAAAATAGGACTGTGAGGGGCGCTCCCATTTCATTCAATTTTTTTCTTGCAAGAAGTGGGAATAACAGTTTTGCAGCTTTGCAAGGACACTTGAAGATT